GGAAAGGGCAAAATCAGGCAGATTCAGGAATTCTGGAAATGTTCATCCAGTGAGAAGATTTTTCAGGGCAGTTGTGGAAAATAACAATTTCTAATCTGATTTTTAAATCTACAGAAGCAAACCTGCCTTTGTAGTGGTGTGGTAGCTGTTAATACCAACAGAAAATTCTGTTTTACTGCAATAACTGCTTTTATTTTTGCTGTTCATGATTGCATTTCTTCGTGCTGATATTTCCAGCCCTGGCTTGGCATCATTCCCTGGTCAGTTTAGCACTTTTGGGAGTTAATTCATATCCTCAAGGTGCCTGTGTCAAGTCCAGCCCTCTCCATCAGGCTCTGATTTAATTATGCCAAAAGGATTTTTACTGAGGCAGCACCAAGTGCTCCATTTCTCTATCAATATCTTGCCAATTCTTTCAGCCCAAACTGTTCAGCTCAACAGATTTTTTTTTGCTGGTGATCATTTCAAGGGGATGGCTCCTCCTGTGACCTTCTCTGTGTCCCTCTCATTTTTGAATATTAATGTGCTGCTGCACAGAATGGAATTGATTTAAGAGCTCAGAGTGGCTTTTGTATCTGCAGAGACCACAAGGAGGAGATCAATATTCCTGATATTCCTTTCTTTTGCTCATCTCTCTTCATTTTCCTTTTATTTTCTTTCTCATTCTGCAACTCACCCTGGTTTTTTTTCCAAGTTTGAAGTCTTGTTTGGAGGGTGTTCGTGCAAAAATTTCTATAATCATGTAGAATAATTCTAAATCACATCTCTGATGTTACATTCATTGCCTCTCCTTAAATTGGACCAGGAAAGGTTTAACTAATTAGTGAGTGGAAATACATTGTAATGTCAGGCTTTGTGGATCATTCTGTTGCATTGTCACCACTCAGAGCTTTGGGAACAAGCCCTGCAATATTGCTTCTGCTCTCTAATCCAGCTCTTGCACAGGACTCCCTCCAGCACAGCTTAATGCACAACAGCAAAGACAGATTTAATTAAACAGACCAGCATCGTGTGCAATTCCTTCTCCTTGTGCAGCTGGATGGATGAGATGTCAGGAATAATTTCATTATTGGGCTGCACCCCCTCAGTGAGAGACCCCTGTTAGGCAGAGCAGTGATTGCCAATCAGTGTTTTAATTAATCAATGCAAACATTTGCATTTCATGGGCTCCACAGCAGCATCTCCCTGTAATTCCTTGGGTACAAAACCACCACGTGCAGCCTGATGGGTTTTCTTTTTTTTTCCAACAGGATTTCCTGATGGAAACTTTCATTATGTTCAAGGATCTCATTGGCAAGAACGTGTATGCAGCAGACTGGATGGTCATGACCATGATGCAGAGCAGGTACAGGCTTAAGTCTGGCTTAGGTCTGGCTTAGGAGCCTTTCTGGACATGACAGGAGGTCACACATGGAGGTTGATTTTTTCCAACCACTTCAGGCTGGTTTAAATCCCATTCCAGCCAGTTTTAGTTCCTGTGTGTTTGTACTGGTGGAACTGGGAATCTCTCCCCTGGCCAGAGGAGCCCTGGGGTTTTTTTTTTTTTACAGCTTAAACCAGAGAAGCCTTTTTGGTCTCAGTTCTGGGGGAATCACTTGGGAAACCCGAAGGCAGATCTGGACAAGGCTTAACTTCTCTTCCAGAGAGGAGATTTCCTGACACCCAACCTGAGCATCCCTGATGCAACTCCAGGATGCTGAACCAAGGGATAAATTTTCCTGAATGTTCCTTAATTTAGAGGAATTCCTGCCTGATTTAGAGGAAAATTCCTCCCTGGTTTAGAGGAAAATTCCTCCCTGATTTAGAGGAATTCCTTCCTGATTTAGAGAAAAATTCCTCCCTGATTTAGAGGAAATCCTCCTTATTTAGAGGAAATTCTCCTTGTTTAGAGGAAATCCTCCTTGTTTAGAGGAAATTCTCCTTGATTTAGAGGAAAATCCCTGCCTGATTTAGAGGAAAATTCCTCCCTGATTTAGAGGAATTTCTGCCTTTTTTGGGATCATCTCTTGCTGTCTCCTGAGCTCACACATAGGAGCAGTGAACCCAGAGCTGCAATGTCATTTATTTTTTTCACAGAATCACCTTAATTTCATTTTTTTTTTTCTCTCTCCAGGGTTTTCCTGCGGGCAGTGAATCAATTCACCTCCGTCCTCAACCGTTTCTTCCTGGATCAAGCCAGTTTTGAGCTCCAGGTAATTCTCCATTTTTTTTCTGGATTTTCTTATGGATCCCAGACTTAGAGAACAACTAAATCCCGTTGTTAGCAGGGTGTAGCTCACCGTGATTCCCCTCTGCTCTGCATTTGGGGCTTTTTTTTTGGGTTTTTTTGGGTTTTTTTTGGTGCCTGTTGTTGCTTTTCCTTTTTATTTCCCATTTTCATCTCCTTTTCTCTCCCCCAGCTCTGGAATAATTATTTCCACTTGGCCGTGGCATTTCTCACTCACGAGTCCCTCCAGCTGGAAACTTTCTCCCAGGCCAAACGCAGCAAAATCATCAAGAAGTGAGTTCACATTTCTCGAGTTCACATTTCAAGCTTTTTTTTTTATTTTTATTTTTTTATTTTTGCTGTCATTTGGGCTGTTCCAGACGCTCCCACCCAGCCCCAGGGTTGGGAGGGGGGTGCTGTGGAAATGCCGATTTTTTTAAGGTGAGAAAGGGGTGAGCAGGATGAGATGTCAGGGCTGTAAATTACGTTTTCAGTTTGGTCAAGCAGATCTTGAACTGTTTCAGCACTTTGCCAACATTTTGGATGCTCAGTAATGGGAAGGTTGTCATGATTCCCAAAATTCCCTCCTGCAATTCTTGGATTCTCAGTAATGGGAAGATTGTCATGATTCCCAAAATTCCCTCCTGCAATTCCTCAGCCTTTATGGAAGGAGGAATCCTAAAAGCTTTTTAGTCTCCAACTTTTTACTTTTTTTTTTTTTTTCAGAGCCATTCATAGTCCCAAACCAGCAATTTTGAGTCACTGAGCAGTTTTTATTTCTGAATTTCCTTGAAATCAGGTGCCTGGATAACTCTGAGCATCCTGACACTGATTTTTTGTTAGGATTTGTCCCATTTTTCCTGCAGAAGTGCCTTAAAGCCTGATAATAAAATCTTTTCACATTGCCTTGACATCAGCAGTTAAACTTTAGGGGAAAAAAAAAAAACCAAAAAACCACCCAAATCCAAGCAAAGTGAGGTGGAATTGCAGGAATCAGCTTCCAGGAAATGGGAATTAAGAGGAAATTCTGCTCTCAGCACTCAGAGTGAGCCATTTGTGGCTTTGCCATTCCCTTCTTCACCAACATCCCAAGGATCATTTCAGTTCCTGGGCCTCTCTCATCTCTTCTTTTAATCCTTTTTTTTTTTTTTTTTTTTTTTTTGCAGGTATGGGGACATGAGGAAAGAAATTGGTTTCAAAATCAGGGATATGTGGTATAACCTGGGTGAGTTGCAGCTAAAGAATTCTCTTTATTCCAGCTCTCAAGCTGCCTTTTAAATCTTTTATTTCCTTACAAAAGCTGCACGTGTTTAATGTGGGGAAATGCTCTTTCAGCTGTTTCAGCACACAAAAACCTCTTTTTTTTTTTCTGTGATTAACTTGGAAAAGCTGATTTTTTCCCTCACATCAGCTGCTGAGATGATTTTTTTTAGATTCCCTCTAAAGGATGTTCTGCCATGTAAAGGATGAGTGGGATTTTTCAGAGAGTTTTTTTTTTTTTAATTGATTTATAATTCAGCTCCATTATTTCCTTGAGCTATTCCTGAATTTTGGAGCTGTAACCTTTTAATTCTTCCTTAAATACTCTCCACATAAAATCCACATTCTGAGCAGTTTGTTGTGTGAATAAAGTTCTTAAACATTGAGAAATCCAAATCCTGCCACTGGATGTGTTTGGAATTTCTTGCAGGTCCCCACAAAATCAAATTTATCCCAGCAATGGTGGGGCCAATCCTGGAGGTGACCCTGGTCCCAGAGCCCGAGCTGAGAAAAGCAACAATTCCCATTTTTTTTGACATGATGCAGTGTGAGTTCAACTTCAGTGGGAACAGGAACTTCCACATGGTAAGGGATGACAAATAAAACCAATAAATATAATTATACAAGATATATATATAGGTATTAAATACGGTATAATGTGATATATAGATATAAAATATGGAAGAAGACACAATATTTTAATATATAATATTAACATAAATATAGAATCTATAATTATATAATATATATTATATCATAGTGTATATATAATCTATGAAATATATAATTATACAATACATATAGATATCAAATACAGTATAATGTGATATATAGGCATAAAATATGGAAGAAGACACAATATTTTAATATAGAATATTAACATAGATATTAAATATAGAAACTATAATTATATAATATATAATGTATAATATATATTATATCATAGTGTATATATAATCTATAAAATATGTAATTATACAATATATATAGATATTAAATACAGTATAATGTGATATATAGATATAAAATATGGAAGAAGACACACTATTTTAATATATATTTATATATATATTACATATATAATCTATCATTATATAATATGAAATATATATTATCTATCATATATGTTACATATATTTTATATAATACAATATATAATAGTATATACAATATATAAAGATGCAATATCTATTATTTGCTATATAATAATATATAATATATAATATATACAGTGTTATCTGTAATGTAATCTGACATTCATTATATGGGAATATAAAATAATATGTATATAAAATAATATGTATAAACTGACAATAATACAAATATTTGCAATAGACACACAATATTATTGCAATGTCTTCACCACAAACGTTCCACATTGTCCAGAGGGCAGAAGAAAAATGGAATTATTTCAACAAAACAACCAAATCCCCACCCCCAGCTGTGCCAAGCCCCTTGGGAAGTCGCTGTCCTTTGTGGGGTTCGTTTTTGCACTTCTGTCCTGACTGAGCCTTTCCATGCCTTGGATAATCCCTGAATTTCCCTTTTTTTCACCATTCCCTGCATTTGCAGAGGTGTCAGTGCCCACCTCGGAATTAGAAAACAGTTTGGAGACCCTCAGAGGGTCAAAAATGTAATTTTAGTTATTTATTTACCCTTAAAATAACAGCATAAACCACCCCCCCCCAGCAGACTTTTGGCTGTAAGTGACTCTGCAGAAAACTGCTGGGCAGTTTTATATTCTTTTCTTCTTATTACATATTCTATTATTATTATTTTATTATATATTATTTTATATTCTCATTTAATATTAGGATTCTGTGGCTGTTTAATGACACCAGGGGTAGGAGAGGGAGGGATTGCATTTCCTTGCTCCAATCTTTGTTTTTTTGGGGGGATTTTTACTCTTTTTATTCTGCCCCAGCACTGAGAACATCCTGACCTTGGCCTGAGAATTCAGGATGTGCTGCAGGGGAGGCTCAGAGCACCCCAGGCCTTTCTCTGCTCGATTTGAGATTTTATTTTTTGCCTTTCCAGTTTGATTTTGGGTTTTATTATTATTATTATTATTTTTTTTTTTGCCTTTCCAGTTTGAAAACGAGCTGATCACCAAGCTGGACCAGGAGGTGGAGGGAGGCAGAGGGGATGAGCAGTACAAGGTCCTGCTGGAGAAACTGTGAGTTTTATAAAGCACCTGGAGGCTCTTTTTATTTATTTCTTTCTTTTTTTTTTTTATTTACACTTTATTGGGCTGCTTTTCTAATGCAAAGAAGCCCTAATTCATGAATTTATCCAGCGAGCAGGGAGCTGGAGCAGCTGCAGTGATTTTAGTGCTGTGCAGCTCTTCTGGAGCTGACTGCCCAAAAAATGAGGAATTTATTCTGCATTTTTACCTGCCCCGAGCTGGAGATGGAATTCAGAGTCAGCTGCCAAACTGGGGAGAGGGGAGAGCACAAACTTAAAGCAAAATCGGCGCTTTTAGCAACAAAAACTCCATTTTTTTTTTCCCCTTTTTTTACCCGACAAGTGCTGCGAGAGTTGGGTGTGTCAGGTGTGAGTGTCCGTGCAGGTTGGGGATTTTGGGGAATTGACCCCAAAATGCCATCTGAGCTGCGGGGGTGTCCCTGCAGGCTCCTGGAGCACTGCAGGAAGCACAAATACCTGGCAGCCCCGGGGGAGGTGTTTGCCCTGCTGGTCAGCAGCCTCCTGGAGAACCTGCTGGACTACAGGACCATCATGCACGACGAGAGCAAGGAGAACCGCATGAGCTGCACGGTCAACGTGCTGGTAGGGCTGGGGACAGCTCCTGGGGACATGGGGACAGCTCCTGGGGACTGGGGACAGCTCCTGGGGACATGGGGACAGCTCCTGGGGGCTGGGGACAGCTCCTGGGGACATGGGGACAGCTCCTGGGGGCTGGGGACAGCTCCTGGGGACATGGGGACACCTGTCCTGGGATGGGGACAGCTCCTGGGGACATGGGGACACCTGTCCTGAGATGGGGACACCTGTCCTGGGGACATGGGGACAGCTCCAGGGGCTGGGGACACCTGTCCTGGGGCTGGGGACAGCTCCTGGGGACATGGGGACACCTGTCCTGGGATGGGGACACTTGTCCTGGGGACATGGGGACACCTGTCCTGGGATGGGGACAGCTCCTGGGGACATGGGGACACCTGTCCTGGGATGGGGACAGCTCCTGGGGACATGGGGACAGCTCCTGGGATGGGGACACCTGTCCAGGGATGGGGACACTTGTCCTGGGGCTGAGGACACCCCTGTGGGGCTGGGGACAGCTCTCTAAGGATGGGGACATCCCCCGGGGTTGGGGACACCTGTCCAGAGCTGGGGACACCTCCTGGGGCTGGGGACATCCCCTGTGGTTGGGGACACCTCCCCGGGGCTGGGGACACCCTCTGGGCTTCTCTAGACCCCCCCGTGCAATTATTTTTAATCCAGAGGAGGATTTTAATGAATTCCTCCCCTAATGAACTCCCCTAATGAACTCCCCGTGCCATCTTTGGTGAACGATGTGCCCAAACCAGGCTCTGGAGCTGTAGGCACAGAAAGTTGGGAATTCCAAAATCCAGTCGGTGACTGGTGCTCCCAGTCTGGAGCACAGGGAGGTCCCTGGTGTTGGAAATTCCAAAATCCAGTCGGTGACTGGTGCTCCCAGTCTGGAGCACGGGCAGGTCCCTGGTTGGGATCCCTGCTCCCCTACAAAGCCAGTTCAGCTTTAAACAAATGATTTCTCTCATTTATCTCCTTTTTGGAGGTGCCCCCTTGGTATGAAGGGATGGTCCCGGGGTTGGATCCACCTGAGCAGCCAAAATTTCAGCAAAAATCCCTGAAATTCCTAAAACTGCTGTTGGGTCACTCGCCTAGAGCTGATTGTGCAGCTCCCTGCTGTTCTGCATTGCCATGTTTGACTTTTCTGTTGTTGGCAGAATTTCTACAAGGAGAAGAAGCGAGAGGACATTTACATCAGGTAGGCTGAGTCCCTTTGGTGCTCCCTTGGATCCAGGATTTCCTCAGTGCAGGAATTGGTTTTGCTTTGTTCAGGTACCTGTACAAGCTCAGGGACCTGCACACGGACTGTGAGAATTTCACAGAGGCTGCCTACACTCTGCTGCTGCACGCTGAGCTGCTCCAGGTATGCCAGGCCTGGATAAATTCAATTTTAAATTCAATTTAAATGGGGCACAGACAGCTCAAAGCAACCGAGACACTGCTTTTATTATTATTTCTGTTTGTTTGTTTTTTTTTTTAATTTCTGGGATTTTTTCTGTTTTTTATTTCTGTTTTTAATGTGATTTTGAGTCATGTCAGTACCAGCTGTCATTGAGGGCCTCCACAGTTTTGTACATTCCACAGTAAAATAATTATAACTGTGATATATATATATAATGATATATATATAAAACAAGTCAATATCTTTAATATATTATTATTATATTAATATTAATAATATTAATATTATAATAATAATAGTAATAGAGAAGTTCTTATGAGCATCAGTTTGTGCCATGCTCCTGCTGCAGTGAGCTGGGAGAGAATTTCCCTTTGAGGAAAATTGGATTCCTTTGAGGGATGAGGGATTTGTTTTGAGTCACCCCTGTAGGGATTTCCCTGGAAATGTCCCGGTCCTGTCAATGTCCCGGTCCTGTCAATGTCCCGGTCCTGTCAATGTCCCGGTTCTGTCAATGTCCCGGTTCTGGCAGTGTCCCGGTTCTGGCAGTGTCCCGGTCCTGTCAATGTCCCGGTCCTGTCAGTGTCCCGGTCCTGTCAATGTCCCTGCTCTGTCAATGTCCCGGTCCTGTCAATGTCCCTGCTCTGTCAATGTCCCGGTTCTGGCACTGTCCCGGTTCTGGCAGTGTCCCGGTCCTGTCAATGTCCCGGTCCTGTCAATGTCCCTGCTCTGGCAGTGTCCCGGTTCTGGCAGTGTCCCGGTTCTATCAATGTCCCTGCTCTGTCAATGTCCCGGTTCTGGCACTGTCCCGGTTCTATCAATGTCCCTGCTCTGGCACTGTCCCGGTCCTGTCAATGTCCCGGTCCTGGCAGTGTCCCTGCTCTG